ATTTTTATACCAATTTATTTATTTAATTCACATGAGTTTCCATATAACGATTAATAAATTGAATATTGTCTAAAATTGAACAAATATATCTAGACACTTGAGAAATATAATATTTTTACACCAATCGTCTACGTACATATTTAAGTTCGACCAATGGAATGATTAACTTTTGAGATTTGTTTTCTTAAAGTGTCTTGAAACAATTAGGTTTCATTCATAGCAGTAACGTCTGCGTTGTTATCAGAAGGTGATTTCTAAATGCTCGTAAATCTGATTCTGAATAAACTACAGTTGCATACATTCTGTTATTGCCATGAATTCTAGAGATTCGATAATAAATCTTGGATTCTCGTGTATCTATTTCAATCAGAAACGATTGAAACGGGACGATTGAGTTACGTATTACTTTAAGGGCGCCATTGCTTTATCGCAAATGTCTGAGGTTCAAAATTATTTCAAGGTCAAGATCATTTCATACTACAATACAATATCATGGTGCTAAAGTCACCTTGGCATCAACAGTATGAAGTTAATAGTAAATAATCTTGTCTTATCTTGGATTTCGAGCACTTTCAATAGGGTATTAGTGGCAGATAGGATCTCTTACCTTCAAAACTATAAATCGTCTTCCTGTTTGTTTTGGTCTTATCGTGAGAGATCATTTTCTTCCAAAAGAATAAAAATAATTTGAAAGAAGCGAACCTTGGAAAATATTCTTTTTTTCGAAAAAATATATTTAACAACTATTTGTTTGTTTTGGTCTTATCGTGAAAGATCATTTTCTTTCAAAACAATAAAAATGATTTAAAAGAAGCGAGCCTTAGAAAATGTTCTTATTTCGAAAAAATATATTTAACAACTATTTCATATCTTATCGACATGTACAAATTGTGTTTAAAATACTTTTATTAATAATGAAAGTAGAGAAAATAAAAACGTCATAAAACGTTCATAGTCAAAAATCGAAATTATCAATTTAATCATGTATGCTTGCACGTCTCTGCGCGCGCGCGTGTGTGTAAATATATGTAGTATATTCATATACTGTGTGTAAATTTCCGCTAAAGTATCGACTATTAGAGCGATAATTTTACAATATTACATCATTTCATCATGTTTGTTTTGTTCTTATCGTGAGAGATCATTTTCTTTCAAAAGAAATCTTCTTTGAGATGAATTAGTCGCTCTTTCAACCAAAAAATTATAAACAAATTTACGTTTTTTAAATTTTCGTTCTTTATACAAACTTTTAATTGGTGAAAAACAAGTTCTTCAATTTACAGTTTTATTCAAGCAAACAAAATTGCGTTTTACTTTGAAACAAAAATGTTTCTGGTACTTGACAGTACCATGTAAGTTTCATGAAACTGTATGGATTATTCCATGTGTAAAGACTGTGTAAAGACTGTACATATGTATGTAGATGGAACCGGGCAAACCATTCACCGAATACCGTATTTGACATGTCTTGTTTGTCAAAGCACATAATCTTGATTTATAATTCCCTACCGTTATTCAATGTTTGTCATCAAATATTATTTCGCTGACTTTGTCGCTGCAACAGTAACGTTTGTAGATTTAGGATGAGATCAGCAAATGGGCATTAACTTTTGTATACAGGGTGGTCCACGCAATTGTTTCAAGCCATAAGTCCGTTATTATTGCATTTACGAAAAAATGCCAAAGGAGAAAGGTAAATGGTTCGAAGAGCACTACATCTGTAGGACTTAAAATTTTTTTTAGATGCAGCAGCTGAACTTTTTAGTTTTGCTGAATTTTTTAGATGCAGAAACTGATTTGTACGAGTAACCATTTCATCATTCAGTAGCAATTCACGTATCGTAACTCGAGTACGAAAACTAAGAATTTGAAAAAGTGTAACTGTATTTCACTAAATACAAGAAAATATATTTTACTAACAGTGAGAAAGAAGATATGTACGACACTTTTGTGTTGTGTGATGCAGATCATTTAAACGCAGTTATACAAACAATAAAAAAACGTTATCAGAGATGTTTAGAATGTAATGGAAAAGCGTTGGAGCATCTTCTTCAATAAAGACATTTTTTGAAAATATCTCGAGAACTAATAATTTTTTTGCCATGGTACCCTAATCATTTGTTATGTAGAATGAACAGAAGAATCGATCTGTGTAAAAAAAAAATATGCATTTCTACTGAAAGAAATGATGCAATTGTTAATTGCATATGTACTGTTGTATCTAAACAAAATTTAAAGGCCTATAGGTGTAGTGCTCTTCGAACCATTTATCTTTCTCCTTTGGTATTTTTTCATAAATGCAATAATAACGGAGTTATCACTTGTATACAAGGTGTTCCAGCCTAAGTGATACGGAGCTCGAACTCCAAAACTATCGGTCGAATGCAAAATTTCAACTATGTAAATTGCATGGCACAATGGGGCTCATGTTTCAGCGAGAAGGAATTTTTGTTAACTTTGTTATTTAACGAGATATGATGGTCAAGTTTCGTTTTTCAAATGGAACTATATATTTTTTTTTTATACCATGTGATAGTACTTTTCAAGACGAATTCATGACGCTTTAATGTATTTACCCGATTTTTATTAATTTTCAAGCTATAACGCTTTAAAGTTTGCTAATTTTCAAGGAAAAAACTGTTCGATCCCAGTAAGCACCATGGGATTTTTGAAATCGATACGGAGGCTCTCGTTTGGGATTCTAGGCCCAAGGAAGGAAAATGAGAAGAATCCCAATATTCTTCTAAAATATGAATAAATGTGTGTGTAATAATCTATTTGAAAAAAAAAAACTCAAAATAATATTTGAAAATCAACGGTCTAGACCAGGGCTTTTTAAACTTTTTTCATTCACGACCCCATTCATGATTGTGATATTTATCGCGACGCAAAAAATATAAAATAAAAATATGTAAATATTTTGTGATGATTTATTGATTAGGTAACAATATACAGAATGCCCTACTAACTATTATCTCTGACACCAATCAAGCTCAGATGTAGGCAAAATAGTCTTCTAAATTAATTAAACAACTTATCATTCATTGGTTATCGAATGACAATTTTGATTTGAATTATAAAATGAAATTATAATTTAGCTTAAAGGAATAACGGTTTATCGAAGTAATAGTTTTTTTAAGTAACTGTTAACTTTCAAACATTTACTTAAATTACATAATTTGATACGATTGTTTTAGTGTCGAGCGCGAGGCGTCAAAGAATATCGAAGAAAATGAGAGGGAGAGCTTTCAAGAAGCGATCGTCTCGAGCAGAAGTCTCAACAAAGGCTTCGTCCAGCCGACGGCTCTCAAAAACGCCATACCAGAGGTACGTTGACAACCCACTTTTCAATTGATAGCTTTATAAGAGGAAAATTTTAGCTTCGTAAATATTTTCACCCGTATTTACGGTACTGAAAGTGTTAGGGATGTTTGGAAAATACATATTTATTTATGATACAAACTAATATAATAAATACATGCTCATCATAACCATTCCTTCTACATATAATGACAGCTGCTTTCATGCTGTTCCCATTTGAAAAAATTTATGAATTTCTTAATGTTTATAACTATTATTACGGCAAAATTTCTATTCTTTGATTTAACTCGGCAAGAAATTAACCAATCGAGATGAAATCTTCTACATATAATGTCAAATGATTAATTATGTTCCCATTTGAAAACATTTTTGAATTTCTTAATGTTTATACAATTGTTACTGGAAAATTCCTATTTTTTTATGAAACTCGGCAAGGAATTTATCTAATGAGACCAATCCTTTCCCATTTAGTTGCACATGGATTCCTGATGATTCCACTTGCAACTATACAGGGTGTCCCAAAATGTTGGAGGTCATAGAAAGAGATAGTTCGGGGGGTGATTTGAAACAACTTTTTCCTTAGCGAAAATGTTGTCCGAGGCTTCGTTAAGGAGATATTAACAGAAAACCCCGACCAATCAGAGCGCGCGTATACCGGTGGGCGGGCGGCGGTAGCGTAGGCTACACGCTCTGATTGGTCGAGGTTTTCTGTTAATATCTCCTTAACGAAGCCTTGGACAACATTTTCGCTAAGGAAGAAGTTGTTTCAAATCACCTCCCGAATCACGCCTTTCAAGGTGTTACAACATTTTTGAGACACCTTGTATGCAAGGGGTGGCTTTATAATTTTTCATGTACTTGGCGCCGAGACGCTATCGCGTCTCTAGATCCGTACAGCAACCAATTTAAAATAAATGGTTCTTGTACGAATATGCGGTAGTGCCACATTATGTACGGGGAGGCATTATAATTTTTCATGTTCTTAACATCGAGACGCTACCTCGTCTCTAGATTCGTACAGCAACCACTTTAAAATAAATGGTTCCTGTACGAATGCTTATTACACTGACTGTATGTTCGTCTCCGATTGTATCTTCCATACATCGTTAAACAAGATGTCACCGTATGAAACATTTTTTTTTAACAACAACCTACACTAACTACTAACACGTGTTCCTCATTTTCTCATTAACACCACATCGTTTAATTATTTCAGATCGCGGCTTGCGTCATATCCGCGACTTTCCACATATCGGTGGGACTGAGCATGGCGTACTCGGCCATTCTCATTCCTCACCTGGAGGCCACGGACTCTGATTTGCGCGCCACTAAAGTGGAAACTTCCTGGATAGGTGAGCAACTCCCGAGACGCGATAAATTAAGTACTGATGGTGAACAACGACGATAAGTATGCGCGAAATAAAATGGATCGCTCGTTCATCTGAACGAGGACATGCTCGTGCAAGAATTAACATCGTGGGAAGCGATAATTGTTACGGTTTTACAAGCACTTGATGATTTTATTATGATCTCTACTAATTGCCTGCATGGGTTGCACGCAAGATAAAATATAGGTCGGCCATTAACAAATTTTGACATATACACAGAAATACACAAAATGGCTGCTCTTTACTTTGGGGCACCAAAAATTATGAACCGTTTTTTGCACCATTTAGTAGTTTTTGATGCCTAGATTGCGAAAATGTAAGTAAAAATGTTAGGAGTCCAATAGTTAAAATGATACAAAAAAATGGTACAAAAAAAAAGTTCATAATTTTTGGTGCCCCGAAGTAAAGTTTAACCCACAAAATGTAGCGGTGTGCATGACTCAATTGACACAAAGTAATGTGTATTAACCGACTTCGAAAAAGAGGAGGTTACTCAATTCGACATGTATATTTTTTTTTATGTATGTTACTCGATTACGCTGGGATTTTGTGGAGCATGTCTCCGGGGTGGTCCCATGATAAACAAATTTTGGGATTTCTCATTTTGATGTCAAATATGATTAGGATTACTTTTCAATACTACGCCATTTATACCAATGCTTTGTTATTTTTTAATTCATAGTAGTATCATTATGGTTCTATCATCTGTTATGTTGTAGCTCATGATCAGTGTATTTCTTAGCTTCTTACAAGGAAACATCGGTGACTGTTACACCTCGATTTTGATGAAACACTGTACATACACTTGCTTGTGTTTCTACCAGTAGCTCAATTTCTACCAGTTGTCGCTAATAACCACATTTAAGATGTTGATGGGACATTAAATCTATACAAAAGGAAAAATGTGAATCGTTTGGGGTGTTAATCAATTAAATTCATTTATTTCGACGTAGAATGAAGTATAATACAATTGTAAAACAACTACATATCAGTTTAGTATAGTTATAGCTATGGGTATTGAAATACTCACGTACCAAAATACATATAGATATTCATAGATATATACATAGATTCAAATAGATTCTAGTCTATGCGTACCCCTGAATTTTAATATTAGAACTTACTACAAGTGTATTGAAATATACACTGAAAGTAGGAAATCTCACCATCAAATCTTTCAAAAGTTAAATTGAAAGTACAGTTACAAATTAAACACAACAACACGAAATGGAAACAACATTGTTTTACAAATGTAAAACAACTATTAACATATTAGAACTTACTACAAGTGTATCAAAATATACATTGAAAGTAGAAAATCTCACCATCAAATCTTTCAAAAGTTAAATTGAAAGTACAATTATAAATTAAACACAACAACACAAAATGAACTGTGGATGTATTTATACACGTGTACTGAGGAATGATTGTTGTTTCAGCTAGCGTGGTGGTGGTGTGTGCACCCTTGGGTGCGCTGATAGGTGGATTCCTGATGGAGACGTTGGGAAGATTGAGAACTCTCCAAATCGGTGCGATTCCATGCGTGGCAGGGTGGATCCTCATTGCACTTTCAACGAATATTCCAATGCTGTTGGTCGGCCGCTTGTTAACTGGACTGGCGACGGCTTTGGCAACCTCTCCAGCCATCGTATACATTACCGAGGTCGCACGACCAGAGTTAAGGGGATCGATGATATCCTTTGGTCCGACTTTGGCCTCTTTCGGCATGGTCCTCTCGTATTTGAAGGGCGCGTTCATGCCCTGGAGGCTGGTAGCCTGGCTCAGTATTATTTATGCCGTTGTGCCTATCATTTTGGTGCAAGCGTTTGTACCTGAATCGCCTGTGTGGCTGGTTTCCAAGGGTCGAGTGGAGGAGGCGAAAAAGTCACTAGAATGGTAAGGAACATACCTTGATACAGTAAAGAACATAGCTGTACCAATAATCACAGATTTGCCATAATAAATACAGGCTGTTTCAGAATTCCTGTAAGAGCCGGAAATGGGGGATAGCTGAAATGATTCTAAACAACAATGTCCTTTGCAAAAATATCGGATGAGGCTTCGTTAATAATTCAAAAACAAAGCCCTATCCGACATTTTTGCAAAGGAAATTGTTGTTCAGAATCGTCTCAGCTACCCTCCATTTCCGACTCACACAGGAGTTCTGGGACACCCTGTATAACAGGAACATTTTGTGCTACTTAATATAATATAAAGCCTTTTTTTTTAACTTCTCCGTGTGTTGTTGTTCACCTGCAAAGTATTAAAACTAGAAAATTATATTGCTGAAAGTATCGTACAAAACTTTATCAATGAATATTCTTTGTTACAGGTGAGCAAGAACGCATTGAGAACTTTAAAAAAAGATTTATATTACATTAAATAGCACAAAATGTTCCTGTTATACTTACTTTTTGTATACCTTAAAGTTAATGGCAATATAAAAAAGGAATTATTGGTGCAGCTATGTTCATCACTATATTATACATCCTATAGATCCTCTGATTAGACTGTATAAGTAGAAACTAGTCTCAGGAAACTAGAATAGGAAAAACTAAGCCTTAAAAAAAGAGTTCGAATGTCGCAAAGAAATTAGAGTAATTTTGATCCTCAAAACGAATTTAGTAAGTGACACTGCAATAAGACTTGCATCAATCATAGGCATAAACTTGTTATACCATGCATATAAAAAGTCTAATTACTTTTCTAGACTTTATTGTTCAGACAAATTAAAATGTATGCAAAGAAAATGTATTCCTTTAATTTGAATATTGCTAATAAAGTAGATAGTGATAGAGATGACAGAGAAAAACAAAGAAGACATACACATAGTAAAAGTCAAGCAAATTAATTATTAACTAAAGACTATTAATAAAGTGTATAATCAGGAATTGGCCGTAAATTAATGACATTAAATATCGTTTCTTTATTACAGAGAAATTCAATTTTGTTTTGGTATTCAGCGTCAATTCCATGCCTAATTTATAACATTATATATACATATTCAATAAAGAAGTCGATATTTCATGATAGGACCTGACTTAACTTCTATCTGTAAGACACTCTTTCTTAAGTTCTGATGTTCGATTAATAGGCTGTGCAAATGCGAAGTGAAACAAGGAAAGGTGTCAGCCGCGCAGGCACAGCTGACAACGATTATGAAAGAGAACGAGATCAAGCTGAGCGAGCAGAGAAAAAGCAAACACGGCGGTGTATCCACCAAGTTCAGAGCGTTCTTGAAGCCTACAGGATGGAAGCCGATGACGATACTCTTCCTGTTCTTCTCCTTCCAGCAGTTCTCCGGAATCTATATTACTCTATTTTACGCTGTCACGTGGTTCCAAGTAAGCAACGTTCCTGAATCTAAAGTGTCGCCAGATGTCTTTCCAAGCATATTTATTCGTTAAATCTCTTTAACATACAAATATTAGACAAAACGTAACAATTAATTACACTGTATGTGCACATCTTTCAGTTGTAGAAAACAATTACATTTATGTGAAGAACAGAATTCAATTTTAGAAATCAATTAGATTTATGTGAAAAACAGAATATCAAAAACGTTTGCAATTACTTTCTATCCATCTTGTGTAAGTTATTTTTTGTACTAGACTCTGTTTCGTTGTGCATATCTTAAGTGTGAATGTAGTCTTAAATCATTAACAATCCTCGCAATACAATTAATTTCTTTGTTGTATTTAGTCTAATATTTTGTCAAAAAGGATATGTTAATAGAAATGTTTAATAAGTATGCTTGGAAACACATTTTATGACAATTATTTGACATTGGTCACCCACTAGACTTATGTTTCTGAATCTTGTCCAAAAATTAATTTGTTGATCCGATATGTATTTCGTAATTGCAATCACTCTTTTTCAGGAAGTTGGCTCTGGCGTAGATGAATACATAGCCTCGATTTTAGTCGGCGTAACACGTTTTCTGTGTTCAATGGTGAACACCTGGCTGCTGAGACGTTACAAGAGACGACCATTGTGTATCATTTCGTCACTGGGCATGGCAATTTGTATGACCGTTTCCGGTTACTTCACTCTCCTCATTAGGGATGGCGATCGTTCTGGCTATTGGGTATGCATTTGAAATGTGACAAGTTTGAACGAAAAGCTTTCAAATCAAGGATTAATTTTACTTATTTCTCTGTTTGTTCAGGTACCAGTTCTATGTCTGCTCCTTTACGTTTGTACATCTATGGTTGGTATGCTGACTATTCCGTGGACCATGACTGCAGAGTTGTTCCCAACTGAGATCAGAGGAATAGCTCATTCCATCAGTTACTCGATAGCCAACTTGCTAATGTTTGCTGCTCTGCAAAGTTACAGGAGCTTGCAAGGTTTCCTGGGTGGTACGTATTTGATTGATTCTATGCAATCTAGTACAAGCTTAAGCTGTTACGCCACTTTACCCATCCGAATTTTCAGGCTTTTTTAAGAATTTTTATTAAAGCAATAACAAGATTTTATGTACATTGAAGTACATTAATGTATTGTATAAATATTTAACTAGAAAATTATTCTTCATTTTTTTTTGTTTTTCCAAAAATAGTGGCACGGCAGACGATTTAGTGGAGCATCTCAAAAATAAAAGGTTTTCCGGTAGAGACGATAACTCAAACCAGGTTCAAGTTAGACCCGTGAAACAAAATTTTTAAAAATATACATTTTTAATCAAATGGCACATTAGCCTAAAAATGCGGTACTTAAAGTTGGATAAAAGATACAAATATTAATATAATGAAAAAATCCCACGTGTTTCACTAGAAAAACATATGATGATTGCATAAGAAGAGATTCAAGTCGATTGATTAAAAATTGGCGAGGCTAAAGTAACCATCGATTTTGAAAATGCTGTTTCAAGAAACACGTGTTTAAAGTTTCCGTTACGTTGATGTGCGCCTCTACTTCTAGAGCTCAAGACTGCATTTACAATTTCTATATCGATTTCTAATTAACGGCATATTATTTTCGTATATGTAAAGAGTACTTTAAGCAAAAAAAATTCGATTTTTGAAGCGACCAAAGTGGTGTAACCCCTTAAATAGAAATTTGAATTACTCCATAACGTACACAAAATATTATAACACAATAACATACCATCGCTTGGTACAATTAGCATTATGTAAACTTATTATTACAACGTATATTTAGAAAAATGGATTCAAATAGGTTCTATTTGTCTTGTCAATTAAGTGTTAATAATTTGACAAATTACTTTTAACTTTGAACTTTCAGCTTTCCTTCACATTCCAATTTCCACATACAGGATGTTACACCTAAACCAGGCCACTTGAATATGTGTTCCAATTGTGACGATACAACAAATATTTTATATGTAATTAAAATGGTATAGAGGGGCCCATCTGATCGTATTTGAACGTCAGCTACATAATACGATAGGAAACAAACATGCATTTATAAGTGAAGTCACAATTGAAAGAGATATTTAAGTGGAGTGGTTTAGGTCTGTGTTAGGTCTGTTAGCTTGTATACCCTCTGTATGCAAATTAGAATGTGAAAGATAGCTGAAATTTTAAAAAACATTTTTCAAATTATCGTCACTTAATTGGTAACACAAATAGAACCTATTTTAATTTATATTCACATTTTTATTCCTACCCTGTTTAACTCTTCACGTTTCGAACAATCTGAATCAGCCTATAAAATGCAGTAGCTTAATTTGTATTTCATTGGAAATTCAACCCTAGCATCTAATTTAAATCTTCATTCAGACAAATATTAAGCTAAACCTAAACGTTCACTGTTTCATTATTTACAGGGTCCTACGCTGTCCAGTGGTTTTTCGCTGGCGTTTCAATAGGCGCCGCTGTTTTCGTGTGGTTTTTACTGCCAGAAACACATGGCAAGAAGCTCTCCGAGATCGAGGAATACTTTAAGAACAATTTCCTGGCAGTTGGAGCTGAAGCGAAAGCCAGAAAGCAGCGTGCAAAGAGGAGGAACGCGCGGCACGAGAAGGGACCAGTTACAGAGCCACTGAATCCGTCAAATGTGAAAAATATACAGAACGTTTAAGCGTCTTCTATCGCACGGGCTGGAACCGTGGCAAAGACTACCTTTTTACGAGATCAAGTTGTAATGTATAACATTCATTCTACACGCGACACGCGAATCAAAAGTTTTATAGTTGAAAGTTACCTTCGAAACGATAAAACCTGATCGCTGGAGTACGGATTTCTACAAACGTGGCTTATTTAGAAACAATCTACAACTGAGAACTGGGTTTTCTACATTGATGTCGACTGACATTAATTTCTACATATTGTTACAAGGAATATCAAAAGACTTGCGTGTTTCCTCAAGTTACTGTAAATAGCAATAACACAATTAGTAGATTTTAATAGACAGACACTGGCATTAAAAGGTCTATGATAGGCTTGTAGTAGAAAAATTTGCAATGCTTCGTTCACAGAGATCTCTCTGTACAGAAATCTCTCTGACCAATTCTGTTTTATCGTTTTAAAGGTTACTCTTGAACTTACTATGAAGGTATTCCGAGTGTCATGTGTGAAATGAATTACCAAAGTGATTGATATCGTACTATTAGTAGCGTGTCAGAGTCAAATAATGGGGGAGTTACTACGAAGTGCATTACGAAGCTGTGTAGTTTTGTACTTAAGCTTTGCTTTCGCTTGAATCGCGTTCGTGCAAACAATGATAAGGGTACGTTATAATTTACGACTATAAATCGAATGAAGTAAAATCGTGTAAACGATCGCAGAGGTAAATTATAATTTACGCTTGTAAATCGAAGGACAAGTATGCGGAGCGTAAAACGATTAACTGGAGGAAGCGAACTGTAAAAGTATGAACCCTTTGCGGTCCAGAGTTTCCGTTTTTAGTACATTTTCGTCGTACGTAGGAACGCAAGAGTATCGCTACAAAGTTTCACGAAAAGCTAGCCCAATCACTTTAGATTCGATTATGAAAATAATTTTATCAAACTGATTTGTTGCATGTACTTCTATTTAGATTATCTTGTATCCTATAGTATTATCTGTTTCTTATAGGAATCTTTAAAGGTATTGTGTTTTCTGCAAAAATAATTGTCATCGATAATTAAGATACGGAAATTCCTACGAAAGCGGTGTGACGTTAAATTTGTATAATCAATAGTTTTCACGTAGAATGATGTGAAAACTTTGATCCATAGTCTACAGTCACAGTCTTGAAGGGTATTACTTCCTAACAATTTCGTGTTTACAACTCAACGAAGACCTTGTATACAAGCTGTCACGTCTAAAGCAAGCCATCTGAATATCTGTTCCAATTGTAACGATATAAACAATATTTTATTTTTATTTTAAAGTCAACTACATAATACGACAAGAAAAAATATGCATTTATGAGTGAAATCACAATTGAAAGAGATATTCAGGTGGCCTGTTTAGGTGTAACACACTGTAGAAGTCAAACCGTATTAACCATTATATTTATTTCAGTTAACGCTTAAAATCTGTCAACAGTGACGTGGCAAATAGAAATATGGATTATTGTTATTATTATTACAAATCAAAGTTCACCATTCTCTCTTCATATTTTTGTGTAAATTGGTCACTCTCTGTCTCTCTCTTTAGTGGACACCTATAAACCAATAATTTTTTAAATATCTGCAAAAAGGTGATTCTATACACCTGTTGGGACCCGTAAGAAATTTTCCATGCGATGATAATGTTGACACAATATAGATACATTGATAGAAATATTTTCATAACATTTTTACGCGTTTTAGTCTAGAGTGACTGGATTAAGCGACGAGTCCTCGGTTATTGCTGCTCCGAGAAAAGTTGTTTGATAAAGAAACGTCATTGCGCAATCGAGAAATGATTACAATGATGGATTAGTTATGTATGGAATTCTGCGACTGTTTATGTTGTGTTGAGAAACGCTCGAACGCGCTTGGATTTGCGAAGGAAATGATACTGCACGCGGTATGCACTTACGGCGTGGTGTTGCGTGAGCAACGAGGTGGATAATTGTACCAAAAAATAGTAAACGACTCTACACGCAACAGATGAAACAGTATTAGACGTTGATCTGATACAGTCTTCCGTGTGCACGTGCACGGATGGCCGTAGAAGAGATGGATGATGGTTCTTCGTACAGAACAAACGTTGGTTACGCGCTTAAGGTCTTTCTTACGCCGTGTATCGTTTCGTGGAAACGATCGCCGTTTATAAGCAGAGCATTCCTTTTTGGAAAACAATTTTAACAACTTCGCTGTGATGTAACAATACTTGTAAAAAGAAATCGTACAATCCGTGATACTCAGGGTGCAGTATCCTGTTTTGCATTCAAACGTGGAATACGTGGAACAAACAAAAAGCGAAGTGTGTTCCTTTCGAAAAGATAACTCGGGATTGTGGAATCATATTTTTTTCACGCCACGAGTCTTGTACGTTGCGAATCGTTTTTGAAAATACCCGGAGTACGCTCACGCTCGATTAGAATTCGTCTGACTATGTACATAATTAATAATTTATACCCAGTAATGCTATTTCCTTGTAATTACCTTTGCCCATTTTGCGTACACGAATTATGCGCACAGATACCTCGGGTGTTTTCGAAAACTGTTACTTCGAACATAAACGATTGGGCAAAATAAATTTAATCCACAGTTTCGATTTAAATTCTGGGAGCAATAAATTATAACCAACTCGCAGGTTTGCCACATATTTTAGGACAAATACGCTACAAAAAACGATTGTATTAAATATCTTAAAGGCGGTTCAAGTGCCTCTCTTTTTTGTCAACTATTCGATGATTATTTGTAATATAAGTGTGCCTAAACATGCGAACAGAGTGGGTTTTACAACAATATACTTTGTATCGTACAATGCAGCATGCTTATATTTTTTAAATATAAATGTGTATATGCATTCACATATATCTACATCTATATGCGTATACGTACTATTGTAAAATTTCTTAAAGTGTTTCTAATAAAATCATATTTTTGGAAACCGCAAAAAGGACTTACAAGACACCTTACCATCGAAGTACCGTTGCGCCGGGAAGTTGAACAACGTAAAGAAATTCATTATATTTGTCAGGATTTATAAACGAACAAGAACTCAAAGGTTTATTTACAACAGAACAAGAATATCGGTACATCCGATGTGTACAAAGTCTCGCGCTGAAGTGCACAATTGCATTGAAGTGACTTGATGACAACGTCGCAATGTATCGATTTTACGTTAGCAGTCCTCCTCAGTAAACGACATCTGATGATGTTTGCCTGAACTAAACTTGTTACCCGACTTGCTCTACCATTATCCACAAAATGACGGAACTCAATTTTGGGGAATGCTTTTACGATTGTTCACTTTTCGACCAAAGAAATACTCTTTGTTTTCGACCTTCTGGGTGAGGGCTCATACGAAAGAGGAAGGTTCAGTACATTCGGCTTTGGTCATCGTGTAAGTCACAAAACTCTTTTAGTCAGGGCCGGCGTGACCTTTTGCGGGGCCTGAATTCACATTCAAATCCTACACTTAAATTTTACAAGAAGGAATTATTTATTTACAAATGCTATATATTTTGTATAAGATGAATATTAAATAATAATACTTTGATGATTTTTGTCACGGGGCGCAGGAGTCAGAGCCAAACTCCGAGTTGACTTCAGCGACAGTTGCGGAAAAAAGCAGGAAACTCCGGGACAAGGACAGAGAGGGCGATACAACAATTGCAGGAGAGGCGAGGATAGGGCGATTAGGCTAGCATGATTTTTTTTCCAGGATATTGAAGCAAAGAAGCAATATTTTCTAATAATTCTGGTTTTAATATGTTCGTTACACTTTGGCGGATGCGACTCCAAGGCCTGATTTTACAATTTCGGCCCTAAAACTTTATAAGCAATAAAAGTATGTTTGCTATCTTCATTTTATTGTTTATAAAGTTTTAAGGCCGAAATTGCGAAATCAGGCCTTGGAGTCGCATCCGCCAAAGTGTAACGAATATATGAAAATCAGAATTATTAGAAAATATTGCTTCTTTGCTTCAATATCCTGGAAAAAAATCATGCTAGCCTAATCGCTCTATCCTCGTCTCTCCTGCAATTGTTGTATCGCCCTCTCTGTCCTTGTCCCGGAGTTTCCTGCTTCTTCCGCAACTGTCGCTGAAATTTGGCTCTGGCTCCTGCGCACACTAAAAAAATGTCTTGCATCTCATTAAAAATTGCTTTTATTTGTTAATGGTATCATCAGTCTGTAAAAAGGTAATCAAAATCGATGGAGTAATTTTCGTAGACCGCGGGGCCTTTTAAAACGCGGGGCCGGGTTCCGGCGAACGCGCTGAACCTGCCTTGCGCCGGCCCCCTGCTTTTAGTGATCTAAAAATGCTTGGAATGCAGGTGTATTATATCGTATTTTTGTTCTACTTTTGATATCCATATTATTAAATATTAACAAGATATCGTTGAATTATGACCAAAGCCGAATATATTGAACCTTCCTCTTTCGAATGAGCCCGCACCCAACCTTAAATATTCTCATATAAGGACGAAAAGTGAAAAATCACAGACCTTTGTTTGCTCCCATTTTTGCCGGTAATATCACCTCGCTGCATTACCCGGGTCTAACCTATGTGCTCTTACATATGAAAATATATGATTCCAATGAATTTAATGAATGATAAAGTATAATTATTAACAATCATAGTGCTGCTCATTCCTCTGGAGTAACTATACATCCCATTATTAGTGTAATATGAATGTGAGGTCGAAAAATTCGTTTGGACCTCATCGCTAGATGGCGATACCAGTTTGTTTTTTATAGTACAAAGACGGTAAAAGTGATCCTCTTCTGAATCAATAAAGAAGTTTCTGCCAAAGTTCAGGTGATAACCCACTGCTGAGTCAATGAGAAAGTAACCATTTACCAGGTATCAGCCACATTTTCTAATGGCATTATCAGTCCTAAATAATTCTCTCGAAAATAAGTGGAATATAGGAAGACTTGTTTTAGAGGTACTAATGTCACGAAAGAGCTGTATCTCTTGACGTTGAAGTGTTGAACTATTACCATCTCAACAAAAATTCTCGAAAGATGGAGAACACAAAATGAATTTAGTACGTAGTCCTCAAGCATGCATAAGATTTATACTTGTATTTGAGTCAATGGGCTCACGACTTATATTTTTGTTTCAATAAATACAATTAAACAAATATTCGTAGAAATGATAAATACTGTAATGTTCCAAAGGAAAGAATCGAACTATTTTCACTACAAACTTAGTCATTTTTTCACCGATGGCGCCACTAGTACTGAAACTGTGGCCGATACCTGGTAAATGGTTACTTCCTTACCGACTCAACAGTGGGTTATTACCTGAATTTTGGCGGAAACTTCTTTATCGATTCAGAAGAGGATCTGTTTTATCTTCTTTTGTTTCGTTTGTCTTGTTGAATTGCTGTTTGATTTTGTTAATTAATAAATTGCTTTAAGGTTGTTCAATACGTGTGATCATTAAAACTTGAAAATAAAACCACTTATATTCTGAACGTATATTTATTATAGTCTCAAGCGCTATAAAACATGCTCTACTTATCTGGATGCACCCATTGTATTTCTCAATTTATATGAAGGCAGTAAGGTCATGTTCCAAAATTGTTTTCTTTTTTTTACGCCGCCACCGAAAAGGTTGCATTGTATTTAATATCCTGTATTTAATAATTTATCCAAATTCATTAAAAGTTGGTGAGTAATGATGCACTTTAAATAGAAATTATTTTATACTTTTTAGTGCACTTTTAATGCTTTTCGAAGTCGGTTATATTTTTTTTCCAAAAGTTATTTCTATAAAAAGTGATATAAAATGGTAAAATATAAAACAAGTCCAAATTCTTGTTTATATTACCAAGTGGCGGTGATGCTCTATCCATGTAAGAAGTTTCAACCCGATTGATCCATCCGATCAAATTTTTCGGTTTTTTACCACAAAAATCGGGTAAGAAATGACAAATCGCATAACGTCTTTATATCGGGACCGTATTCTGATTTTTTAAGCCATCTTGCTGTAATCGGCAAACAAACATAAAAAGAAGATAAACATGTCGAATTAAGTAACCTCCTTTTTCTCGAAGTCAGATAGGAAATGTCCCGCCATTTCTATTACGCGGGCTCCTGAGTAACCAGTTACAGCCCTGAACAAAGGATACGAGGACTTTTGAAAGAACCAGGGAAACTTGGCAAAATTCTTTTGTTTGTATCGTCATATTCTAATTAAATGTCCGGGACCTTGAGTCCGGTTGTTCCTTATTCACAGGAATTCCCAACTCGATTCAGAGGAGTTCGCATGCCAGCACATGTCTGATACGTGCGCACGTACGAATCATAAGATATACCGCGTGCAAGACTGGAATAATACACTGAAATCATTGTTCGTCCGCTTCGTGACGATGTTCCCCAACGCACAGATGTACGGATCATCTGCCCCTTCGAACACCAGGCCCTAGAACAGAACGAATCAATCGAACTATACAGGGTGCCCTACAAATGTTGTAATACCTTGAAATGAGTGGTTCGGAAGGTGATTTGAAACAACTTTTTCCTTAGCGAAAATGTTGCTCGAGGCTTCGTTAAGGAGATATTAACAGAAAACCCCGACCAATCAGAGCACGAGGATACCGTTGGAGCGGCCGCGGTAGCGTAGGCTACGCGTTCTCATTGGTCAGGGTTTTCTGTTAATATCTCCTTAACGAAACCTCGGACAACATTTTTGCTAAGGAAAAAGTTGTATTTGTGTTTTGGGACACCCTGTATATATATATCTTATTTAGTCTGAAGA